CCCCAAAACCCCAAAACCCCAAAACCCCAAAACCCCATATTTATATTGTTAGAATGAAAATTCAGAATGGTTTAAAAGACTATAGATTTATTTACTAGTCTAACTAGAGAATACTCTGATTGAGATGAATAATAGCATAGAGGCTATTTCTCATCTTCAGGGATCACATCAAGCTCTTCATTGTTTGGGTTATTCAGAGCAATTTGGAGTAGTTTTACTCCTTCTTTAATGATTTCAAAGTTATGACTTCTGTTCATCATTTTATCAATATATTTGTTCATAAATTTGAAAACTTCAATGGTGTACATAGTACTCTCATCAAAGTTGGGAACATTGACTTTTAGACTGTCTTTGTACCTAGAGATGACACACTACACAATACCTTTCTCTTTTCTGACGCTTAATCTCTTTCAGCTCGTTCTCTGCATTTTGTTTTTTGAGTTGTTCGATTAGGAGTCCGATTTTGGAGTTCTTCTTGTTTTCATATTCGTTCAGAATCATACTTCGGTTGACAGCCAACCTGAACTTCTCCTTAACATTTGATTGCATTGTGCAATAATCTCAGACAGGCACATTATGCTCTTCGATGTATTGTTCGTAGTCTTTTAGGTTTTTGTTAAGATCAGAGAATTCCTCTCTGATTCTGTCCAAACTATCCCGGTCAATTGACAATAACGAGACAAAGGAGCTTGCTTTGTAAGTGAACATCTGCTCATTGCTTTTCAGTATAGAATATGCTCCGAAATAACTCCCTTGAGAAAGCATGTCTGTGATGACTTCTTCACCGTTATCAAGCTGAAGAACAATTGAAATCTCACCTTCAGAGACGTAATAGAGTTTATTGATTTTGCTCCGGTTATCAAAGATAATAGACCCTTCTTCGAAGGATTGGGTCTTTAAGGAGTAAATTAGTTCCTCTTGGCACATAAAAGAAAGGTTTTTAAAGTAATCTGTCCTTACTATGAGACTTTTAAGGAACTTCTTCCATTTATCATTGTACTGGCTTCTTTTATGCTTGAATTTAGATACAACCTCTGGATACAGTCTTCACATTTCATTGAATGATTCCTCATCTTGCTGTTCAAGGATATTATAATTCAGGCACTGGACTGTTGCTGTTCGTGAAGAGTTGGAGATCAGGGCGATTTCCCCAAACATGACTCCTTGCTCAATGATAGCAATGGAGTGCTCAAAATTTTTCTCATCTCTAACAGTAACTTCTCATTCCCCTTTAGAGATGAAGTAGAGGGATTTCATGACGTTTTCACTATAATTTAGGGATCGAGACTTACTTATGCTTCTCATTTTCTTCTCCTTGCTTGACAATGTAGTCATCTGGAAGGAACAGAATTGTGTTAACACTTTGAAGGACATGCTCAATCATCTTATTTAGAAGAGTCTTGAAGAATAGGATTCATCTTGATTATGTCGTAGAAAATATACTTGGTAGCCTCAATTTGGAGACTTGGTGAAATCATTTTCTTGAAAGCCTGCAATTCTCGCTGCTGGTCTCTGTTACTTTGTGTATAAAGTAGGTAGTTAATAACTTTAGCTTGCAGCTCTTTGTGAATGTGCAAATTTTTCATAGCTGTATTAGCAATATCGATTTGTTCCTGGAAACGATGGCTCTTTTTATTAAGTTCTTGAATGATAACAGCCATGTTACCAAAGATATTAGCGTTAACAATAGCTCCAAGTGTGACTATCCCACTGACGTAGAGGATTGAAGGGTTATTTCCGTGGTCCTAGTTCATTCCCACTGAGCATATTGACAGAAGAATATATACTATGAAGATATTTGTAGGAATCCGACTGTTCATATAACTCTGTTTTGACAAACATGTAATCTTGGGGAGGTATCCACTCTTGGAATGAATTATGGACCATGTACCAAATTCACCCAGTAAAGTGAAGATATAACACTAGAAAGTAGATTAAAGTAAAATCTTCTCGAAGTGATATGAACATTGTGATACGTGATAGTCTCAGAACTCTCGTAGTTTTAAGTAAACCGAACAGTTGTGTCCAACTCAGCTCTTCCCTCCCTCCTGCAATAAAGTCGAATGGAACTGTTGAGAGAAGATCCAACCAGAATCGCCCTTTAAGGTATTGTTTGGCTATTTGCTTAGGTTCAGAAATTTCATCACCAGACGAAGGACTTATATAAGTAGTTCTGAAAGTGACTATGATATCAAGGAAAAAGATTAAATCAATAATGGTGTTGACGGCTAAGTAATACCAAGTATCAGCTATAGAGGGCTGAAAGGCTATTTCTATAGGAATAGAGAATGAATTCCAAGTGGCAAATATCATAATAATCAGATCCCACCGAATTCTTAAGGGCTCGTTGATTCGGACGATCCATTTTCTGGTCTTATTTTCCAGTGATTAAAGCTATCTCATCTTCTCTTTCTTTTGAGATTTTGCCGGTTTGATTAATGGGATTTTCACCTTCTTCGGGGCTGAAATTTTTGAATCAATCACCAAACATGATATCATGACTGAGCTTGCCTCTTGGAGAATCTGGAACTATTTCATCTACATCTGCATCTCTTGGGAGTCCCTTCTTGACCAATGCTTTTTTGAGAAGATCATAGGAGGTAGTCTCATGATGCTCATCTTTACCTCTGTCTCTCTTGAAAACATTATTTTCAGCTTCATTTGGAAGAAACTCTTCGTTTTCGGTGGCAGCTCTGCTATAAGTGATTTCTTTGCTTTCTTCCATAAATATTATAATTCAAAAGTTATTGTATAATATGGGGTTTTGGGGTTTTGGGGTTTTGGGGTTTTGGGG